GCTATAGTCCACGAAAGCTTATGCTCTAATAAATTTGTTAGTCTCTAAGGTGCCACAAGTCCTCCTGTTCTTCTTTTTGTCAGGTTTAAGTGATTTCAGACTGACCCTGACTAGTCTATATACACTGATTTTTATATTTCCCCCCCTCCCCACAACTGAGTGAATGGTTTGAGAACCCACTTATTCTAAGTGCATGTTTCTTCACCAAAATGGATTTATAGAGATGTATAAAACTATAGGGTTTTTTATTTTGTTGCATACTACACCTACCAAATGACTCAGAAAACCACAACTGTAAGTTTTCTGTGACAGTCCAGGGCCCTTAGCAACAGTGGTGAATGTTGGCAACAATATAGAATTTGCTGACATCAGAATAGCAGTTCAGAAAAGATAATTTTGGTTAGAATTAATTAGTCTGTGTGAGAAAGAACTGGAGACTAGCTGCTGTCTGTAAGTATGCAATGGTGTTCTGTCCTTAGGCTTGCTTAGTTTTATTTTCTAAATCTGGTCTGATCAGTGTACATACTCGGGTTTGTCTCGGTTGGAGTGTAAAGTACAGTATAATAGGATAGTGTCCTATATTCTCCTCTAGAAGTTACGATTCATGTAATGTTATGAATACAAACTTTCAGAATGCTATTTGCTTAGTCTTTCAAATTAATTAAAACCCTACCACCTGGTGTCAGACTTTCAAAACCACGTTTCCATGAGCAGGAGTATTTCAAGTTGTGTGGAATGTTGTTGAAATTGGCACAGCGTTCCAATTAGTTTTAGACTAATTTGTATCCCGATCTCACTGTAATCCCGCAATGTCAGTGTCAAGGAGTTACTTCAGTATTAAAATTAACTACTGGACCCCATAAATGCTGCAAACAAGCACTTGTGCAGTTGTCATGTACAACACATTTTCCTAATCTAACTCTTGAGGATAGAGAATGTCTTCAGACAAGAGCTAAGAATGTTCTTTAAGTAAATGGTTCGTTTCTGCAGAAAACATTGGATAGCAAAAATCCCTGGGAAGACTTCATAGGCTCAATGCCACATGCAGGGTCACAAGAAACGAGTCATATTAGTGGTGATGGTCTTAGACATTTTAGATACTGTGCAGATGAAGTAATGGTATCAGAGCGATGATATGACAACCTGTTTTTTCCCCAAAAGCAAATTAAAATTTCATCATTTCCATCTACTTAATTTCAGGGTGGGGATACCCCTTCCCGGGGAAGATTGAGAAAGGTATGTGGCCACATCTATTTTAGTGTTTAATTTTAATGAAATAAAACCTGATCTACCGCTAGCCATTAATTTAATGTCAGGGGTAGGGGAGACAAAGTATAATACTAAAATGTTGAAAATATCCTGATGTTTCTCAAATATTGAAACTCTCTGTTCACACCCATTTCACAGCCCTATGTTACATTTACTAACACTTAATCTATGTGCTGAACCCAAAACAAATTAAAAATAGTTCAGTTTCTATCTGATCTTCTATAGTAAAAATACCTAAAATTACTACATGGTTGCCTGAAGTGTAATAACTTAAATAGCCCTGAGTGAAAGGAAATATGTAGGTCAGAATGAGATGAGCTTGACTATTTTATATTTCCTGTTTTACAAGAAATGGCAATCAATTCAAGTTTTTCTGGTTCAGAAACATCTGGAAATGGTTATTTATTGCATGATATTGATGAGCAATTGTACCGCAGTTGTAGTTCAGAGGTAGATAATGCCACTCAACTCTGAGTCAAACTGGTGCATAAGCCACATAGGCCAATCTTAATAAATAGCTCACTGTATTTCATTGATGTTTCCAGACTCAGATTGGAAGCAAACACATGCCTTCAACAAAAAACACTTTTTATAATCCAATGTTAGGAGTGGCAGAAATTTATAAACTGCTTGAAAAAGCTTTCTAAAAAAATTAGAATAGCATGATTAAGAGAGCACAGATTTTCAGGTGGACAACTGTTAGAAATGCATCCCATAACTGTATTACCTGAGACTGTCTACACTTGAAAATAACTCTTACGGTAGGATATACATTTAAGCATGATAGCTATTCCCAAATAAATACATATGTAGACTAGCCCTTGTGGTGGTACATAGTACTGCATAAGTGAGTAAAAATGCTTGCTATTTTTTTTTTTAGTCTTCAGGAAGCAGCATATTGCTCCACTTAGTAGCAGAGTTGCAAGTATGAAGAAGTGTACTAGTCTTGCTTTTTATCAACATTCATTACTCATTAGGTTGAGTTTACACAGCACAGATTCATTGGGCCTTTCACACTTTAGTTTCAGTCTGCAAAAGCTCCCTGGCAAGAAAAGGCTTTTACAGTTCACAACTAAATTCAGCAGACTCTAAATTGGTCAATGGGATCAGAAGGAGAGAGAATAGATTAGGCATATGATTTATTGCTATTTCCACCACATGAAGATGAGGGTTTGTCTGTGAGGAAGCTATTGACAAATAGGCTAGAGCAGTGGTTTTCAACCTTTTTTCATATGCAGACCCCCTAAAAATTTTCAAATGGAGATGTGGACCCCTTTTGAATGGGGAGGGAGGGGGGAGAGGAGGGTCTAGACCACAGGTTGAAAACCACTGAGCTAGAGTAAATTTTAAAGCACAATAGTTATTCCAGGCTACTGCCTCACTTACCCATGGCCAGACACTGTGTTAATCACTGAACTCTATCAAACTTATTAGCCATCAAGACAAGGCAACTTTTGACTTACCTGTTGTTCACCAATTTCCCAAACAGTAAAGGATATTCTGCTTCACATGTTCTGCTTCACAGCCTTAGCTGAGACAAGCTTTAATTGTGCTCTAACCTACTTAAGTAGGCATACGTCTGAAAGATATAAACCAATCTTTTGGGCTTGTTGTACAACATTTGGGATAGATTTCCTCCACTCTTCTGAGACACTGTACCTGGTGGTGGTGGGAAATTCCTAAGAGCAGCATTTGAGCATTCTCTGTAATTTTTTTTACATTCTTGTTTGAGGAGACTCTAAGAATCTGTGGGTTTGTTTTCCCCCTTAATTAGGAAGTGTGTTCTGGACACTATCTGCTTAACATGATTTATTTCAGCTGCCTTGTGTGAGAACTGTAAGAATTTAGTTGTTTCTGTAACATGTTGTAATTATTTCAGCATTTATGGCATCTCTTTGTAATAAGTATGCAACAAACCCAGATCCCCCTCCCTCAGAACATTCAGTGGGTGGGTGCGCTCTGCAGCCTTGAAACTGCATTTCCCTTTGAATGGATAACTTCACTGCACCTAAAACTTCTGCTTTGGGAAAAGGCAACGGTTACTTTCTTTTCCTGGTTTTGGAGGCTTTTAAATGACAGCTAGCATCTAAAAAGATAGAACTCATGGGATACTGTTAGCTGCAAACCTATTTAACCAGGGATGTTAGACAGTCTCCTTTGTTCTTGTTTAGCAAAATTTGGTGGGTTTTCTCTAAAGTTTTAAACATTCTCTGAAACTTCTATGAATAAATAAGCAGACCAAACAGGAATTTGGTTCTAAAATGCCTGAGATGGTTAAAACTAAAAGTTCACAAATCTGGAAATCAGAGTCTGCGTTGCTGTCTTCCATTTTAATTGTCTTGTCTGCAACTTTGTCTTTCAAATCTGGTTACTGATAGGTATATGTAATGTTTCTAATCAGAATCTGCTTAATTTGTATCCTCCCATTAGTATGTTAGTCTACAATGTTTGCTGCTACACAAGTACCACTAAAACAACTTCTTTGAAGCAATTAGATGGCATATGCAGCACTTGCTTTGAATAATGAAATTTTTACAACTGCTGGGAAATGCTCATTTTCATAGGGGTGTTAGGAAGTGCTTGGAAGGCAGTGTGTGTTAATACATGGAGCAGGGATTAAAAGCTGTGGAAGGTGTTTATCTCTGCCTTTGTAGGGACTGTTTCCTTACATGCAAAAGGAATATAGTATCTATAGCACTTCTCAGTTCACAAGATGGTAAATTTAGGCTGCCTTATTTACACTGTCAGTAGGTGGAGCTGGAATGGTGCTGGACCCAGACCTTAGCTGCAAATGTAGCTAAGAACTGTGTTGCCACCATTTTAGAAATCTTGTCTTAAAAATGGAGGTGGGGCTTAGATGCTGCCAACTCTGCATTCTTTCTTAAGAGCTGGGGGTGAGGGGGAAGAGAACACACAATTGCTATGCATGTGAAACAGCAATTGAGAATGAGATGGGTGGAGTCTGGGAGAACTTGTAGTTGAGATCAAGCATTATCTGCAAGATCACCAGAGCTAAGTACAGAAGGACTGAGGAGCCAGTGCCACTTACAGTATCTATCTGTTTTGGGTCAGTAACAGAGGAACTAATACAGCAAGTGAGGACCCACATTGTGTGAGAATCTTATTTAAATCCCATAGTAAAAATGCTGTTTTTCTTATTGTAGAAGGAATCACTAATGAGTAGTTGGAGGCTGAAAAGAATCTTTTCTCTGTGACACTATAAATGCATGGCAACTTCCTGACAATGCCATTACTCTCTGCTGGCAGAAATTAGTGCTAATGGATGCCACTGAATTATTTCCCCTGCTTCTCCTTTAAGGCTAATAGACACACTGAATGTGAATGCTGGCTGGGGTTTGCCACTTGCAGTGTCTGTAAACTAAATGTTGCAGCACTGTGCTGGGGAAACCAACCAGCCTCACTGATGCCACAATTGAAAGAGAGCCTGTCAAGACTCAAATATCAGAGGGGTAGCTGTTAGTCTGGATCTGTAAAAAGCAACAGAGTCCTGTGGCACCTTTAAGACTAACAGATGTATTGGAGCATAAGCTTTCATGGAGTGGGCATTCACCCACGAAAGCTTATGCTCCAATACATCTGTTAGTCTTAAAGGTGCCAGCGGACTCTGTTGCTTTTGTCAAGACTGTGTGTGTGTGTGTGTGTGTGTGTGTACTTGTTAATTACAGTGAAAGTGAGCTCAAGGGTAGAGCTTTATTCCTTGTCATGCTAGGGTTAAATACTCATGACTAGGAACTAAGGCTTGTCCTGGAACGAGTGTGGGGGGTGTTGTCTTTTCAATTGCGGTAGCGTGTTGAAGGGCAGGCATGCCTTGGTGCTGAACCATGAACTAGGACTTGCAATTTGATGCAAAGCCTTGGCTTGGAGGCACTAGTTACAGTACATGAAGGCAGTAGCAGGGTCTCTGTGATTGACCCTACCAGTCAGCTCCCCTGTCTAGGCTGGAGCCTGGCAGCTGGCTGCAAAGCACCATGCTGCTCTTGGCAGCATTTGGTGCTCCGAGGCATTAGCTTCATGGCCTGTCCCGCTCCCTCTATTATTCTCCCCTCCTATCCCCCTTGCCAGGGGAGGGAGACCCAAACCCCTTCTCCTAAGGTGGGGAGGGGACGACCCTTCAGCTTCCCTGTGGGATTGTTGCCAGGGTCAGCAAGCAGGGGGAGTGTCCCCCTCCAGGCCCTGAATTAAATTAGTCTAAACCCAGGTAAAGGTAAACTGGTGGTAGCAATAATGTAGGGGTCGGCAACCTATGAGAAGTGGTGTGCCAAGTCTTCAGTAATTTAAGGTTTCATGTGCCAGTAATAAATTTTACATTTACAGGGGTCCCCAACAGAACCCCAGACAGTCAATGGACTGAGCGGGGCTGGTGGCAGGGACCCCAGCTGGCAGAGGTCAGCAGATGGAACCCCAGACCTGCAGCGGCCTGAGCGGCTCAGCGGTTCCATCTGCCACCCATGCTGCTGGTCTGGGGTTCTGTCCACTGGCCCCTGCCGGCCTGGGGTTCTGTCCATCCAGGCTGGCAGTGGCGGCTGGAACCCCAGACCGCTGGCAGGCCGAGCCGCTCAGCCAGCTGACAGTCTGGAGTTCCGGCTCCTGCCAGCCAGGGGTCAGCCCTGCTCAGCCTGCTGCGGGCCTAGGATTCTAGGGAGGCGGGGGGCTGAGGGGGGCTGGTGGCCGGGACCCCAGCTGGCAGCAGCATGCCAGTAAAAATGGGCTCGTGTGCTGCAGGTTGCTGACCCCTGCAATAATGGATTTGGTTCTCTTCTCTCTTTTCCATCCCCCTCCCCCCCCGGGTAGACACCGTCTTAGATACATGTACTTGTCTGTTGTGATGGGGGTTGACTCTTGTCACCTGATTCTCTCTTGTGGGGAAACTCCGGGTGAAATCTAGAGTTCTCCTAAACGAGCTGGGCAGAGTAATTTGCCCTTGTGTTGGGCAGGTGAGGGTCAGGGGACGGCTGAATGGTGCTGGCCGGTTCCTTAATCCTGTAGGGGCAGTGGGAGGATAGGGCAGTGGGAGGATAGGGCGTGGGCCTGGGGTGCCCAGCGCAGGGACCGTGTCTCCGGGGGCCGCGTGCACCATAACAGAAGCGGTTGGGGTTATTCAAGTGTAGCTGTGATGAAAACCGCGCAGGCTGGGTCCATTAGGGCCCTGGCTTTGTTTACCACAGGAAGGCGAACGCTAGAGAGGAAACGCATGCGCGTACGAGTCGACCGGGGGGGCGCGAGTAGGGCAGGGGAGCAGATGTGCCGAGGGCGCCTGTTGCTGCTAGAGAGCATGCGCAGTTGGCTCGCAAGGGGGGGGGGTTTAAGCCATGTACGTATTGCGGATGCGCAGCATGGTCTGTTTCTGCGCATGCGCCCCGGGCCTCATTCCCAGCCACGGCGCCGCGCAGTTTACAAACTGATGGTGAGCGGCGCGTGCTGCCCCCAAGTCTCCGTCTGGCCGCTGTCCCCTAGCCACCGTCACCCGACCCCGATCCCCCGGCAGTGAGCGGGAAGAGCGCGCGCTGTGCAGCGCAGGGGGCTCCGGGCTGTCGGCTGCCCCGGGGCGGTGGCTGGACCTGTTCTTTGTGCGGCGGCGGCAGAGCCCGGCCCAACGGCAGCGGGAGCACGCGCCGCCATTTCCTCACGCGCCCTCGGCACAACCTCATCCGCTGGCTGCTGCCTGATTGGGACTAGGCGATCTCCGGACAGGATCAGGCTCGGACCATGTGTGCGTGCGGGGCGGGGGGGGGGGTCGGTTACGTCGGGCCGGGCTGCGCTCGCGGGGAGGGGGGGGGTCGGCACTGCACCGGGCCATGCGGGGGGGTTGGACTCGAAGGTGGTCTGGTGAAGGGGAGCAGCGGTGGGAAGGGCGGAGTGACCCGCGTTTTGGCGGCCGGAGGCCGTTGTCCCCGCCTCAATGTGTTGTCTCCCCGCAGCGACGGAAGGCGAATCGGAGCCGAGTCTTGCTTCCAGCATGATGCTGAACACGGAGGGCGGCGAGGGCTTCGTGGTGAAGGTGCGCGGGCTGCCTTGGTCCTGCTCCGCCGAGGAGGTCCAGAGATTCTTCTCCGGTGAGTGTGCGAGCGGAGCGGCCGCCTGAGCGTCAGCGCGCATCCACCGCCCCCCGGAGTGGAGCGGGCCGCCCGGTGGCTGGGTGCATGGGGGAGGGGCGGGTTTCGTGTGACTCGTCCCTCAGGCTGTGCTGGGGAGCCCACCTGCGAGCCGGCAAAGCCGGGGAATCCACTTTGGAGATAGCAGAGGAGGTGATAAAAGTCAAGAGAGGCCCTGTGGAGGAATCACTGCACCATCGGGGCAGCGCTTCTGTAAGATAAGGGCAATGGGGGGAAATAGTATAGAGTATCCTCCCTACTGAAAGTAAGTAGCTTTTTTGAAATACTTAATTGCAGTAAGCAATTAAATATTGGATGCTTAAGCTGAACAAATAGCTAGCCCTTTTGTACTTTGATACCCATTATAAGGGTTGGTCTACAACGTGGTTTAGTGTTTGCTTGAAAGAGTGCACTCCTTACTTAGCAGATTTTAAGTCCCATATTGCAACTGGTTAACTCTTGTTTTACTAGATTTCAGATTGACTTTTTTTCAGATGGGAGATGGAATAAGCATTCTTGCCATCTTAAATAAGACTGTCTAATTAAAATTACCCCCCCCCCCAAAAAAAAAACCAAAAAAACCCAATATGGTGGTCTTTGGAGGTCTGTAAGAGGGATGTAGTCTGGATTCTTTCACAACTCAAAATTTATCTTGGGTAGCGTCTGCCTTCTGTTCAAGGTATGCTGGCAGGGAAGCTTTCCATTGCATCTCTTGTTGGATTTTGGTCTCGGTGGTAAATTTAAAAGAATACTAAGAATATTAAATTCAGTTAAACAAAAAAGGAAAACCAGCATCTTGTATTATGGTAGATAATATGTATTTAGGATTAAACTGGTATACTTCCAGGAATAAAAGATATGAATCACTGCTGTTGAACAATCCAGTGTTGGAACAAAACTGTTCTGGGTCTCTCTCCTAGAATGCAAAATTCAAAATGGAGCTTCAGGTATCCGTTTCATCTATACAAGAGAAGGCAGACCAAGTGGAGAAGCTTTTGTTGAACTTGAAACAGAAGATGATGTGAAATTGGCACTGAAGAAAGACAGAGAAACAATGGGACACAGATATGTTGAAGGTTTGACTTAATTGGCCTAGTAATTGATTAAATGTTTGGATTAACTTTCACTTTTTTGTAACTTGTGGTGTTTAAATGCATGTAAGTTGATTTAAGTGAATTTAGATTATACCAGTTGACTAGCTTCTCAAATGGCAAATGACTTAAAATGGTTTATGCTGCATTCCAAAATTCATTAATTCTAAGTGCCTCTTACAGTTTTCAAGTCAAACAACGTTGAAATGGATTGGGTTCTGAAGCATACTGGTCCTAACAGCCCTGATACTGCTAATGATGGTTTTGTACGTCTTAGAGGACTTCCATTTGGCTGTAGCAAAGAAGAAATTGTACAGTTCTTTTCAGGTATGTGGGGTATAAGTTTTAGCTGTAGCGTTATGGGTCAGTGCGAATCACAGTGGCACTGAGCTCTTGCCCATTAATGCTTTCAACAGGCCAAACTGCCACAGTTAGTGTGTTAGACTATATTGAACTCTGATGTGTGCAGATAAATCCTAAATTTAATCTATTATTTGGGCTAATAGCTTTTAAATATCTTAATCAACCTAAGTTAAATTATGGGTTATCTAGATAATTCATACTTACACAAGTGTGTTTTACTTAGCATCATAGAAAAATCAAGTTTTCATCCTTTGAATTGAAAATTAAAGTGGATACTTAAAAATCGGAGGATAATTCCTACTTACTGTTTTAGCCATTCCACACATGCTGCTCAGTCGAGCACATAAAAATGGTTGAGCCTCTTTATTGCTGGACTCAGTAAAATGGGTGGAATTTTTAAAGGCGGCAAGACTAATGTTAGGCTTAAAATCTTTGAACTCAAGTATTGACCTACATGACTTGTAGAGTCAAATATTGTACAATAATTTTGTCTTTTAAGTACGGAGTAGTTGTGGTACAGTAGTTCAATTTTGTTTCATTCACATTAAATGAGTATTTTATGAACGTTGTTTAGGGTTTAAGACTGAATTGTAAAGATTAAAATGACTTGACTTGAACTTGATTTCAAACTCTTGCCAATTTGTATCTAATGTTGACTTCCTGTTTTGGGATTGGAATGATACCTACAAATGCATACAATCTTGAATGGGCCTAAACATCTCTCTCTTAAAGCAGAAAGTATAAATTTCTAAATGTGACTTGTGCTTAAGTTATAAACCTGAATATTAGAATGTATAACAAAATAAACCGAAAGAGCTTTGAAACATTGTTATAGGATTAGCAAGGACTTTTTTGTTTTTAATGTAGACTGAAAATCTGTGACTATTTTGATTAGAATGCAACTAATTTGTTCTGTGTATTTTGGCAAAGTGATGTATTGAACACTACCCCCCCCCTTTTTTTTTTTTTAAGCAAATAAGTGCACTGATATCACTGTGTTCATGTGGTTAATAACTTATGAGCAGTGGTGATAGAAATTGTATACATGTACCTAATATGCAGAATGCTGCTTTCAGTTTAGCAATTAACACATCTGAAATAATTCTTGGATTTCTCTTAGTGAAGCAGTACTCTACGAATATTAATACTGAATTTAGTGAGATTTAAAATCTTTACATAAGAGTATCATTGTCTTACATGAATGTTACTTTTAGTAAATACTTACTAAGATGCCTATGTAAAGCTATTTTTACTGTTTTTGTGACTTACGTTGTGTGAATTTCAACAGACTGAAAAATTCTGTAAAGTATTCTTAAGAGGTTCTATTTAACTTACCTTCTTAACACACCCTGCACTAAATAAATGAAAATTGATTTTACTGCTACAAAGTAAAAGCTTTTATTTCTGCACAGCAGGATGGGTTAAGAATCTAAACTGAATGGTATGTAATCATGAAGCTTCATGTTGATATGCTTTCTGCTAGAATGCTAATCTAGAACTAGCATACCATTCACTTACAAGTATTAACTTTCTGGTGTATTTAAAGCTATAAGAAAAATTCATGACTGGGCTTGTGATGTTAATATTGCCCCCTACTGGGGTTATTTGTCCTTGGGTTGAAGGGTTGGAAATCGTGCCAAATGGGATAACATTGCCGGTGGACTTCCAGGGGAGGAGTACGGGGGAGGCCTTCGTGCAGTTTGCTTCACAGGAAATAGCTGAAAAGGCTCTAAAGAAACACAAGGAGAGAATAGGGCACAGGTGGGGATGGATGGTTGGTTGGATACGTCACTTTTCTTATGGTAAATGCTAATTAAATCCATATTCTCTCTTCTTAAAGGACTGATCCTTAAACCATTAAAACTTAGTCTAGTATTTTGGTCTCTTAACTTATAAGTAAAAGTATTGTTACCACCTTGTTTCATGTGTACATAGTGCATACGTAGTAAAACTTATTTGGACTACAAAACAAAATGGGAAAAATTAAGTTAATTGAATTTACTCTTATCATTTGGTATTTAAACTGTAAAATTGATAGCTTAAAAACTGACAGAAGTTGAGAGATTATGGCTTTAAACGTCTCAAGTAGCACCAATAATGTCTCTAGCTGTAAAGACACACATAGTACCTTATTACCATAAGAAAATGTGATAATTTCTAAACTTGTTTTTATAAGTTGAAATGTAACAAATTTTCTTATTGTATTTAATCTTCAATGTAATAAGCATAGCTTTCAAGAAATTGTCACAAAGGGTTTTTTTATTCTATTTTACTTGTGACTATTTTTCATTGAAGCATGCAGTTTTTCCTATGCTAAACTACTGAAGCATAGGGTGGGTTGACTAGCACATGCAAAGCTTTTTTTGTAGACTCCTAATGGGTTAAAATCTTGGTGGAGACTAGGTTTTTAACCCTCTTAATATATATTGCCACATGAGCAAAACATGAAAGTGCTGAGTTGAGTGGACTTGTCTCCCTCCTATTTTTTTGACAGACATGATTAAATTTAAACTGTGGCGGGGGGACTTAACTTGCTCCCCCACCCTTAAGGTTGGGATACTGTGAAGTATAAGGAGCCTATAAACCCTTCAGTAATTGTAATTTCTTGAAAATACACTATTTTGAAAGTAAAATAGTATTTGACTAGAATTTGTCATTGCCTGTATAATCTAAAGAAATCTGGCTTAAAATAAACTGCCAGTTTCAAGGCTATGACTAGAATGTCTTGTTCTAGTTTGTTTTATACTGATTTAATATTCCTATGTGGGGAATTAAAGACTGACTGTCTGTCTTATGTGGAAAACATCCTAGGTATATTGAAATCTTCAAGAGTAGTCGAGCAGAAGTGCGTACTCATTATGATCCTCCCCGCAAATTACTGGCCATGCAGAGGCCAGGTCCTTATGACAGGCCTGGTGTTGGAAGGGGCTATAACAGTCTTGGTAGAGGAAGTGGTTTTGAAAGAATGAGACGTGGAGCTTATGGTGGAGGTATGTATCATAAGACTTTCAGTTACTTTTAAAACCATAATTTATACTGCTTCATACCTATTGGTGCTTGGTTAAAAACTCATGGAAAAATCAAACTAAAGCTAAACTTCTGCTTCTAAAATTTCATAGCATTTTACATACTAGTTCCTGTAGTTTAGGAAAAGCATTTTAATATGTATTCTATCTTTTACAGGTTATGGAGGCTATGACGACTACAATGGATATAGTGATGGCTATGGCTTTGGTTCTGATAGATTTGGACGAGGTGAGACTTCTTTAATGGGGGTGGTAAACAACTTTTAATGCATATAAAAACTAACTTTCAATACATCTGAAAGATATAGAATGGACTCTTCTCTCCGCAGGCATGTCTGACCATAGATATGGAGATGCAAGTTCTACTTTCCAAAGCACAACTGGTCACTGCGTACACATGAGAGGATTACCTTACAGAGCTACAGAGAACGACATTTATAATGTGAGTTCAAATACTTTGTGCAACAAGTACTTTCTCCTAAATCTGCAACAATATTTTGCCAGATGAAGACAGTCTTATGTAAATATCTTTTTTACCTAGTTCTTCTCACCTCTGAACCCTGTAAGAGTCCACATTGAAATTGGACCAGATGGTAGAGTGACTGGAGAGGCAGATGTTGAGTTTGCTACTCATGAGGATGCTGTGGCCGCCATGTCCAAAGACAAAGCAAATATGCGTAAGTTTGACTTTTTTTCCCCTTAATGATGGGCCTCCATCTTTAAATCAATGACCAAAACAAGGTCTGAACAAAAGTTAAAACATACCTGCTGAAAGCTTGTATTAAAAAAAAATCTGATCTTCTGTTTTCTAACATGGTAGAATAGTAGTTACCGGAGACACGACTGTCAGATGGATTAAAGTCATAACTATAATATGTAACAGATTTGAATAGTTCACATCCTCCATCGGCGTGACCTCACAGTGAGACAGATTGGATATGGCTTCTGTAGGAATTAATCTGTCAAACTTCCCTTAGACTACTGGGCTGTATTAAGTTGAAATGAGGCACAGTTTGTATCATGCATAGGCTTAATGTCCAGTACGTTTCAATGCTCTGTTAAACATGCTTTTCCTTTCAGAACACAGATATGTAGAACTCTTCTTGAATTCTACAGCAGGAGGAAGTGGTGGTGCATATGGCAGCCAAATGATGGGAGCAATGGGTATGTGTGAATAGTCCAACTGCATTTTTATTCCAATACTTCATATTTAACGAAGCTGGCTAATTTTATACAGCTCCTGCTTTATTCTATGCCTGGCATAAAAACTGAAATTCAACATTCTGTCTTAATCACACAGTCAAGGAATCGGAAGGGGTAGTTCAAGATTGGAACACTAGCACATTGCCAGGTATATAAACTTTTTGGGAATACATTCAAACAATTTAATTAGGTTAAGTAAATTGTGCTGAATGTGAAGAGTGTGGTGATATGACTGCTTTTTAGGAATGTGTGACGTTGCACAAATGTGGGAGATGCTAGTCATCCTTGTCCTGTTCTCCTCCTCTCCTCCCTCCCCCCCCCCCCCCCCCGACTGTTGATAGATGTATCAAACTTTAACTGACACGTAATCTCATGAGTAAAGTCTCTTTGGAAATCAGGGAGCAACAAAACTCCACTCTAAAACTTGGAAAAATCAACACTAAAACGTTATGGCAAACCTAAAATTACCAAATTAAAATATGAAATGTCCATTGTAAGTTAAACTAAAACCTGTTACTGCTATTCAGAAACTGTTTACCCCTAGATGGCCATCGAAACTTTGACATGCAAAAGTAGATGATACTCTTGAAATTTACTTTACTGGTTTCTTAGGATAAGAGCTTAAAGTGGTGGTTGGTTTCTATATCTGTTCTGTGGTGGGATGTGTGTGGATGATGCTTGTATAGCACCTTGATTTGTGGAATGAGATTGAACACTGTAATGCTTTGTCTGGTTTCTTTTAAAAAAAGCAAACTTCATAATTTCAACTGTAAAGTTTTGCAGAGGTACTGTACTCTAGCAGATTGTGCTCTTCGAAGGTAGCTTGATTAGTTCATTGAGAACTTAGCTTATTAATTTTAGTTGTTGCTGACTCAATAACTTACCAAGTTCTTGTAAAAGTATAGAAACTTTCCCATGTGGTGCATGCAAATTCAGGATAGGAACAAGCCTGAGACTATCTAGAGGATTGACATTCCAGGTGTTCTGGTATTGACTTCCCCCATGCTTCTGAAAGCACATGTGCTGTTGTAGAGGACATCAGAAGTCACTCAGTTGGCTTACCTAAAAATTTTCAAAAATCCCATTATGGATTTTTACTGTGCAGTAAGTCAAAAGTAAATTTTCTCCATTGTACTTCTGAAGGGTGGGCATTTGGGGGTGGGAATGTAAATTCTAGCACCCCATTTAAAGTTTCTTGTCACTGTAGTGGAGTGGAATATTTAAACATCTTAAATCCTCAGATGTGACTTATTGCAGTGAGTGAACTGATACTCTTCTGGTGAAATAGGATAGGGCACAATACAACTTTCCTATTTTTAAATTAGGCTGAAAAAAAAATTAAATACTCTTAGAATCCGAAGCACATGAGCACAAATATCTTGCTCTTGGCCACTTCCACTAGTGAGAAGCCAGAAAAAAATAGTTAAGCAGAATGGTATCTAAATAGACCAGATCCATGGCACCATGAGGGCTAATATCTGTTAGGAATTTCATAATTAGGTAGTATTTAGATCTGTTTGTTGGACAGATTTTTGGCAGTCAAGGTGTTAATGTTCATTTCCTTAACTTGAAAGGAAACCAATCCACTTATGGTGCTAATCAGCAGCTGAGTGGGGGTTATGGAGCTGGCTATGGCACTCAAAGCAGCATGAGCGGCTATGGTAAGATGTGTGTAGTTTTTCATTATTATTATTATTATTATTATTATTATTAT